ATTTATTATAAAGCTTTGAGAGATTTTGTCATCCAAACTGGGGTTAGCCACTCCATAGCATAAAGGATTCCCATGGACACCCTAATCTGTTCATACTCAAGTCCCACTGTATACATTGGCATGATGAAATGCTGTTATATACAATGGCAAAATCAAGGTTTGCCTTCTGGAATACTTTAAATAATAATAATAATAATAATAATAATAATAATAATAATAAGTAAAGATAATAATAATATGTAAATAATCATATGTAAAGAATGTGTAAATGAAAGCCAAGAACCTGCTTTAATTGAAGCCAGCAATCAAAACTTCTCAAAGCACACCAGACAAAGAATCAGTACAAGAAAATTGCATTCCAAACCAGAGTTGACAGCTGGCACAACAAAGCACTGCATGGGCAGTTCCTTGACAAAATTGAAGAAAAAGTTGACAGGGAGAAGACCTAGTTATGGCTCATGAATTGAAGAAGGAGACAGAGGCCTGATTCTTGCAGCCCAGGAGCAAGCCATCAGAACCAATTCCATTAAGGCCAGGATTGAAAAACCAGCTGATGACACAAAATGCAGACTGTGCAACGTGTCAGTGTGTAATTCATGTATGATGTGTGTTTAAATGTAATTTTATGTGATAGGATTGTGATTGTAATAGAACTGTATTGCCAGGATGTAGTTTGACACAGAAGGGTTAAACAGCAAAGTAACAAGCTGTGAGAATGTGACCCTGAGTTCTTGCTCTGTGAAAGACTAGGGAGTGCCAGAGATAAACTTCCTTCCAGCTGCAGTTTGTATTAGTTCCTATCTCTTTCGGTTTGTGTTCTTCACGTCTGTCTGCTGATGGTGTATGTTGTCTATTTTGAGCTGCTTAAGTAAAGCTGAAAACCTGCTTATACCGGAGACTCCAGAGTCCATTATGCTGAGCTTCTGCGATACTCTGCTACACGCTAACACAACAAACCTGATGAAACCATTGATCATATCTTCAGCTGTTGCAAGAAAATCGCACAGACAGACTACAAACAGAGGCACAACTTTGTGGCCCAAATGATTCACTGGAACTTATATCACAAGTACCACCTGCCAGTAGTAAAGAACTGGTAGGATCATAAACCTGCAAAGGGAGTGAAAAATGAATATGCAAAAATACTATGGGACTTTCAAATCCAGACTGACTAAGTTTTGGAACACAATACGCCAGACATCATGATTGTGGAAAAGAAAAAAGTTTGGATTATTGATGTCGCCATACCAGGTGACAGCCGAATTGATGAAAAACAACAGGAAAAACTCAGCCATTATCAAGACCTCAAAATTGAAATGCAAAGGCTCTGGCATAAACCAGTACAGGTGGTCGCTGTGGTCATCAGCACACTGGGTGCCATGCCCGTTCAGGGCTTTGTAGGTGGTAACCTGTACTTTGTATTGAAACTGGAAAATGAATGGTAACCAATGGAGTTCCTTAAACAGGGAGGTAGACCACTCCCTGTAATTCGCTCCAGTTAGTAGCCTGGCTGCCAATTGCTGGACCAATTCAAGTTTCCAGGCTGTCTTCAAGGGCAGCCCCACGTAGCATGTGTTGCAATAGTTTCAAAGCATGGATGGTTGAATCCGTGGATGCAGAATCTGTGGATACAGAGGGACAACTGCATACAGCCTCTTTACTCTTTCAAACTTCAGTGAAAGAATAAAGGTTTGGGGCATTTTGAACACCATGATGCCTTTTTAGGAACAAGCTGGCTAACTGTTAGTGATGCCATATGGATGAAATACTTCCAAGGCAGAAAACAAATGTAGGCATGCCCTGAGACCGTCTCTTGTTTTGTTCTGACATTGTAATTCCTATTAATGTTGCCATAGAAAATATTAGATATTCACAGATGTTCATGCAATGTTAAGTTGTATTCCTCCAACAGCCGCTCACAGATGGAGAGCAGAAGGGGATTTCTCCGAATCCTTAAAGTTGCCAACAGATTTATAATTCAAGGTTGATAAGGCAAATAACTCACTGTTTATCATCCAATGGTCTGAAGATTTTACAGTAGTAAAGATTATGCCAATAGGCCTGGGGCAGAATCTGAATTTTAAAAGACCTATCCGAGGTGCTGAATTCTATCCTTTAAAAAGGGCTCAGCACCCTGGATAGCTCTTTTGAAATTGGCAGAGATTAACACATTAGGAAGAACTTTCTGACTGTGAGAGCCATTCAGCAGTGGAACTCTCTGCCCCAGAGTGTTGTGGAGGCTCTATTTTTGGAGGCTTTTAATCAGAGGCTGGATGGCCATCTGTCGGGGGTGCTTTGTGCGTGATTTTCCTGCTTCTTGGCAGAGGGTTGGGCTGAATGGCCCATGAGGTCTCTTCCAACACAAGAATTCTATGATTCAATGAAGTCCTACACTCCCCATGTACATGTCTATATTTGAATGCATAGCATCCTATAGTTATCATTTGCATGTAGATCTTTTTAAAAATATATATATGGACTATTTCCATTATGGTGGGCAATGTGCAGTTCACACCACTTTTTGCAGAAAATTTTGGATGCTTTCCTGCTAAAACAGTGGAAATAGTCCTTGCAAATAATAATAATAATAATAATAATAATAATATCTCACTATTTCTCTCCTAAAAGAATGGCGAACAATGCTTAAAACAATACAAGATACAATTTAAAATCTACATGGTCTAGCTCAGCAAGTGGCTGAGGATTTTTCTGACACGTCGAAAGACAAGGGGTTTGATGGGTTTCAAAGTGTAAGAGTCTATTAGTTTAGGATGATATTCCTGTGATCATTCCCAAGCAACTAGGGATAGTGAAACCAGTTCTCTTGGGAATCAGCCTTCAACCAATGTCTCTTGCGTGCATGTTTTGACTAAGAGGTTTTTAAGTGTATGTCTTTTGAGCAATTAGAACTGCAATTCTACTTCAAAGAAACAACCATCTTCTGCTAGTCAAATATATTTTGTAGTGGCATGTCTTTATCCTTCACAGTTTAAAGACATGGTTCTTCAGTTTAACAGCTGAGTCACCTGTGTACCATTACATTAATACTTTATGAATCTCACTTGTCTTAAGGGTTGACTTCTAACAAGGTCATGCTTTTCCAGACTAGTGGTTTTCAAAGGAGATCTCTATGTTCATGGCAGGGTTGTACACCCAACCTATTCAACTTGTATGCAGAACACATCATGCAATGTGCGAGGCTTGACGAATGCAAGGCTGGGGTGAAAATTGCTGGAAGAAACATTAACAACCTTAGATATGCAGATGACACCATTTTGATGGCCAAAAGCGAGGAGGAGCTAAGGAGCCTTCTAACCAAGGTGAAAGAAGAAAGCGCAAAAGCTGGGTTGCAGTTAAACATCAAAAAAATTAAAACGATACCAACAAGACTGATTGATAACTGGGAAATAGAGGGAGAAAACGTGGAGGCAAAGACAGACTTTGTATTTCTTGGTGCAAAGATGACTGCAGACAAAGACCGCAGCCAGGAAAGCAGAAGACATTTCCTTCTTGGGAGTAGAGCAAGGACCAATCTCGATAAAATAGTGAAGAGTAGATATCACAATAGCAACGAAGATCCACATAGTTAAAGGTAAGGTAAAGGTAGTCCCCTGACATTAAGTCCAGTCATGTCTGACTCTGGGGTGTGGTGCTCATCTCCATTTCTAAGCCGAAGAGCCAGCATTGTCCGTAGACAACTCCAAGGTGAAATGAGTGAGGAGGAGGAAGGAGATTCAGATGGGAATAGAGGCACTAAGAGGGTTACTCGAGAGCAGGAGTCAGATGAGGAGCGTCAGAGAAAGAAGATCCAGGACATACATACTGCTCCCACAGAGGGTTTTTCTGGGAATGATGGGTCTGGGAGTGATGGGGATGAAGACGAACCACTGCATTGGACCAAGATACAGGAGGTTCAGAATGTATGTACTCAACCAATGTCCAGTGACACTTTTGCGGGGTTTTCTGGTGGTGGGGATTGGCAATCTGGTCATACCATGGATTCCTGGGGAGACCTAAGTCTTGACAAGAGGTGGAAGAGTTGGAGGGATAGGCGTTGGCGTTCAGCTGTAGAAGCTAAGCCAGCTGATAGTGATGAGGATGGGGTCTTGTCGCTGCTGCTTTCCTGTTGGGCTTGGATCCTGGATTTGCAGGTTGCTGTTTGCTTTGTGTACCAACCAGCTTGGATTCTCGTAAGTGCAGATTTCCCCTCTCCTTGACTTTGTACTGTTTTTGATGACGACGTTGCCTTGTGGACTTTGGAACTTTCAACTGGGATTCCTTCGACTTTGGACTGCTTCTGGATGACGGCTTCTCTTCACAGCTCTTTGTTTGCATGTTTTCTTTGAACTGTGAGATTTTGGTGTGTTTTGCACAAACTCTTGTTTAATCTGGTTTTTTTTTTTTGCTAGTTTAATCCGGTTAATTTTCTGAGTTCATTTTTCAAGCTGGAAACTGCTACAAACTTTGAGTTTTGACCAGAGGCACTGAAGCAAGTGTCTCTGAGTTGTATTTACTTTGCTTTAATAAACTATTGTTTTGGATATACTCTTGTGTCTGGCTCTTTAAGGCATCTGGGTTCCGACATTCATGGAGATTCACTTTTGCCAAACAGATGTGACATCATTTTTACCTTTTCAATAAGGTTATGGTGCACTGGAATTTCCAATAGGTTATGGAATTTTCAATACATATTGATTGTGATCCTTCACAAAATGGTGACAGAAAATGATACAATATCCTTGCCATTAGCCAGTTTGGGAAGGTTATGTATGCTTCCAGAGCTCTTTAGGAGATAAACAGATAACTCTCCAGATCCTGGAAACCTGACTTGTTTTGGACAGCAAGCACCAGACTCCCCCATTCGCTTGGAACCTGTAGTCCAACAAAGTCCCTTTTTAAAGCTCTACTTTTAAATTGTTGAAAAATGGATCCTAAAGTGAATTCAAAAAGAGGAGCCCCAGTTGTAAAGCTAGAAGGCAAAGCAAAGAGGGAGCACTTACCTTAAGCACAAGAAGAGCAGGAACGCGATGGTGAGGGCCCCGATGGATATGCAGTGCCCCAGGTAAGTGATGATTATGGCAACCTTGTAATGGAAAGCGGGCTTTGTCTGGGGATTACAAAACGGAAAGATCGGTCAAGCAAGATCAGGTCAGTCTAGTCTAGATTGAGACTCCCTTAAGCCCCCCCCCCCCATGCTCAGAATAACTTTAACTAGAGGCTTCTTCATAAGATGTGCAAAAACTTTTGAGAATTGTGCATCGACCGGATTCAAAGTCTAGGAATCAAACATTTAAGGTCTAGAGGGATCCTGGGAAACATAGGATATTATTGCTTGAAGCTCTAAAATAGGGTTCTGCCATTGCAAGCGATCTTGCTTGAGACTGGAGAACATCTGATAACCACTGTTCTTGGATGCATCTATACTTAAAGTGCATTAATTTTGCAGTATTGATCAGGTATGGGCAAACTGGGCCCTCCAGGTGTTTTGGACTTCAACTCCCACAATTCCTAACAGCCAGGCCCTCCTAAGAGGCTGAGGGGCAAAAGGAAAGGGCCTGAGGCTGTTAGGAATTGTGAGAGTTGAAGTCCAAAATATCCAGAGGTTCAAAGTTTGCCCATACCTGATCTATACTGCAAAATTAATGCACTTTAAGTGCCATGATTATGGAATCACAGGAGTTGCAGTTGCTCAATGTTTTAGCCTTCTCTGCCAAAGGATGCTGGTGCCTCCTCGAACTACAACTCCCATCATTCCATAGCATTGAGCAACAGCAGTTCAAGTGGTGTCAAACTGCCTTAATTCTGCAGTGTAGATGCTCCCTTAGAGAGTAGAAGGGCTCCAAGAACCCCTTGATGTTTGAAAAAGCATCAACAGTTTCTTTTGGCAGGTTCCCCTTAAGCTGTTTGTTTTTCAAGCGCTTTTTGTAAATATTCAAGCAGAGGCATATTCCCCAAATGCCTTATGGATGAGATCTCAAAACCATAAAGGAATAAAAAAAGCAAATCAGGCTGTGCTGATGACCAAATGTTTCTTAGCTTTGCCTAAAGCCCAGTCTGCTGCAAATGACCTTTCCTTGCCATTTGTTATTACTCATTTGTTAATATCAACAGATGGAATTACGTAGGTTGATCAGATGCATTCAGCCTGTAATCTACAGATTGAAAAGCAAGATTTATTTCATTTCTTCATGCAAATTGGGCTGAAAATGAAAGTTTGAATACCGAGAAAACGTGAAGTGAGAACGAATGAAATATGGATCATGTTATTGGTATACTAAAACCAGGGTGCATCTACACTAGGCATGGGCAAGCTTTCTAACTTAGGGACTGCATGGCAGGCTGGAGTGGGGTGGGAGGGCCAGGGGGGAGAGAGTTCTTCCCAAGACCCCTCCCTGCCCTTTCCTCTTCTCTTTTGGAGGCAGAAAGTGAAGGAAAGATGGAAAATGTTTGGATCCCAAAACGGTTGGCCTTGGCCAGGATGAGATGGTGGATGGGAGAGAAAAAGTGTATCCATGAGACCTCATATTGCCTACTCCTGAGTCATAGAATCATAGAATCAAAGAGTTGGAAGAGATCTCATGGGCCATCCAGTCCAACCCCATTCTGCCAAGAAGCAGGAATATTGCATTCAAATCACCCCTGACAGATGGCCATCCAGCCTCTGTTTAAAAGCTTCCAAAGAAGGAGCCTCCACCACACTCCGGGGCCAGAGAGTTCCACTGCTGAACGGCTCTCACAGTCAGGAAGTTCTTCCTCATGTTCAGATGGAATCTCTCTTGTAGTTTGAAGCCATTGTTCCGTCCTAGTCTCCAGGGAAGCAGAAAACAAGCTTGCTCCCTCCTCCCTGTGACTTCCTCTCACATATTTATACATGGCTATCATCTCCTCTCAGCCTTCCCTTCTTCAGGCTAAACATGCCCAGCTCTAGCTCCTCATAGGGCTTGTTCTCCAGACCCTTGATCATTTTAGTCACCCTCCTCTGGACACATTCCAGCTTGTCAATATCTCTCTTGAATTGTGGTGCCCAGAATTGGACACAATATTCCAGGTGTGGTCTAACCAGAGCAGAATAGAGGGGTAGCATGACTTCCTTAGATCTAGACACTATGCTCCTATTGATGCAGGCCAAAATCCCATTGGCTTTTTTTGCCGCCACATCACATTGTTGGCTCATGTTTAACTTGTTGTCCACGAGGACTCCAAGTATTTTTCACACATACTGCTCTCAATAGGGCCGTAGCCAGAAAAAAATTTCAGGAGGGGTTGAAATTTTCGGGGGGGGGGGGGGATTGCGGGGGGGGTTGAAACCTGCCTCCTAGCTCATGCTGAAGCAAAAAGCACAGCAGGGGGCAGAGCAGCCTTCAATAGCCTGCAGCTCCGCCCCTGTCAACCACCTCCACCAAGTCTGGCCTCCTTAATGAGAGCATTCAACACCCCCCCCCCAACTTGGTTGCTTCACTACATCGGCTGTTGCTGCAAGTAATGACAGTGTGAATAAATTGTCAATATTTGCTTGAGATAGTGCTTACAGTTCTGGAGGGACTCTTAATTTTTTGCATCTCATAGACTTAGCATGGGGATTTGGTTAACCAGTTAAAATTCATGAGTAAACCAGGTTTTTTAAAAAAAATCTGAAACATTTTGGGGGGGGTTGAACCCCTAAAACCACCCCCTCGCTACAGGCCTGGCTCTCAAGCCAGGCCTCATCGTCCCCCATTCTGTCTCTTTGCATTTCGTTTTTCCTGCCAAAGTGGAGTTTCTTGCATTTGTCACTGTTGAACTTTATTTTGTAGTTTTGGCCCATCTCTCAATCTGTCAGCCATTTTGAATTCCTGCTCCTGTACTCTGGAATATTGGCTATCCCTCCCAATTTGGTGTCATCTGCAAACTTGATGGTCATGCCTTCTACCCTTCATCTAAGTCATTAATAAAGATGTTGAACAGGACCGGGCCCAGGACGGAACCCTGTGGATGGCACTCCGCTCGTCACTTCTTTCCAGGATGAAGAGGAAGCATTGGTGAGCATGGTGGACGGGAGAGAAAAAGTATATCCATGAGACCCTGTATTGCCTACTCCTGATATAGAGTTCTAGAATCCTAGAGCTGGAAGAGACCCCCAAGGGCCATCCAATCCAACCCCCTGCCATGCAAGAAGGCACAAAGTATGCACAATAGAAGGACACTCCACCACACTCCCAGGCAGCCTTTTCCTCTCTCCAACAGCTCTTACTCTCAGGAAGTTCTTCCTAATCTTTTCAGTCGAATCTCTTTCCCTGCCATTTGAAACCATTGCTCCCTTCTTCTCTGATCTCTAAAGCAGCAGAGAGTCGGTTTTCTCCTTCCTCCTCAATGGGACACCCTTTGAAATCTTGAAACTGTTGCTACTAGGGGTTTGCAACAGACTTTTTCTAAGTCTTAGAAAGGATCAGGGTTTTTTCTGTTGCAGCTGTTATGGGTTAATTTAGTGTGATATAAGTTCCTGTATATTGTGTCGTTGTGTGTTGTTAATGTTATTGCTTTGTTTTGATTTATTTTGCTGTATTATTATTGTTGTTGTTTTATTGTTGTATTTGGGCTCTCCTATTTTCCCTTTCTATTTTAATTACTATTTTTTCTTTCTATTTTTTATTCCTATTTTCCTTCATTTTCTCCTATTTTAACTTCTATTTTCTTCCTATTTTCCTTATTTTTCTTTATTTTTTTTTTCTTTTTTTTTTTCTATTTTTTTTATTTTATATTATATTTTATAATGTACTTTTATTTTATTTTATATTTTATACTGTGTTTTGATATTTATTTTCTTATTTATTGTTTATTTTATTATTTTATATTATATGTTATAATTTATTTTTATTTTATTCTTATTATTTATTTTATTATTTTATATTAATCTTGAAACTGTTGCTACTAGGGGTTTGCAACAGACTTTTTCTAAGTCTTAGAAAGGATCAGGGTTTTTTCTGTTGCAGCTGTTATGGGTTAATTTAGTGTGATATAAGTTCCTGTATATAGTAAGTGTTTGGAAATTTTGAGCATTGTATTCTAGCTTGGTTTGAGGCTCATCTTGAGCTGAAAAAAACCTTTGGTTTGTGCCGGGAGCAGTTCTGCAGTATCCTGAAGATAAAGTTTGTTTACGGCACGATAAGGTCACTCTATGGATAACAAAGTAAGAAAGACTGTATATTATTCTGTTAGATGTCTGCATATCGCCGTTGGAAGAAGAGGACTCACCGGAGATATTGTTTTTGTTATATTTTGGTGAAAGCAATTCTTCTGTCTTGTTTTGTATACAGTGAATAGAACTTCATTTCTATTTCTACTTAAAGTAAAAGACTCATGTGCTTTTTTATGAGTTATTTTTATCACACCAAGCGTTAGTAAGACTTAGCCCCTTTTGACTCTAATGCTGACAAAAACCTGGTTAGGTTACCTCTCTACCTTCTCTTCTCCCAGCTAAACATCCCCCAGGAGGAAAGGAGGAAGGAAAAAGAGAAGGGAGGGAGGGAGAGAAGGATGAATGGAAGGAAGAAGGTGGAAGGGAATGAAGGAGGGAGGGAAAGAGAGAGGAAGGAAAGACAAAAGGGAGGAGGATGGAGGGAGAGGGAGGGAGGGAGAAAAGGGAGGGGAAGGAGGAAGGAAGGAGAGGGAGGGAGAGAAGGATGGAGGGAAGGGGAAGGGAGGAGGGGAAGAAAAGGAAGGAGAAAGGGAAGGAAGGAGGAGAAAAGGGAGGGAAAGGGAGGAAAAAGAGAAGGGAGGGAGGAGGGATGGAAGGAAGGAAGGAAGAAGGAAGTGTGGAATGGAATGAAGGGAGGGAGGGATGGAAGAGAGAAGGAAAGACAAAGGGGAAGGAGAGAGGGAGAAAAAGGGAGGGAAGGAGAAAGGAAAAAGAGAAGGGAGGGAGAGAAGGATGGATGGAAGGAAGCGAATGAAGGGAGGGAGGGGTGAAAGAGAAGGAAGGAAAGACAAAAGGGAAGGAAGGAGGGAGGGAGAAAAAGGGAGGGAAGGAGGAAGGAAAAAGAGAAGCGGGGAGAGAAGGATGGAAGGAAGGGAAGTGTGGAGGGAAGGGAAGGGAGAGGGGAAAGAGAGAAGGAAGAAAGAAAGGGAAGGGAGGGAGGGAGAAAGAGGAGGACAAAGGAAAGAGAGAAGGATGGAAGGATAAGATGGTGAGAAAGAGAGAGCTTGAGAAAAGAGCCCATGGGGCTGCATCTGGTCCCCAATCTCGATATGCCCATACATGATCTATACTGTAGAATTAATGTAGTTTGACACTACTTTAACTGTCATAACTCAGAGCTATAGTCTCCTGGGAGTTGTAGTTTGGTGAGGAACCAGCAGTCTTTGACAGAGAAGGCTACAGATTTTGCAAAACGACAACTCTCATAGTTCCATAGCATCAAGACATGGCAGTTAAAACGGTATCACACTGCCTTCCTTCTACAGTGTAGATGCACCCCTAGTGCTCCTCTTTTTGAATATTTACAAGTTGACAAGTACACATAACATAACACAGGAAATTGAGGGAGGCATACAGACCTCTTCAACCAGAATGGGTTCACATTGCGAATAGTTCGCCTTCGAGGCCCAGGTCCCATTTCCCATGCACTCCCGGTAAGCATTTCCTAGAGGGAAGAAGAAATACAAAACAGATCCATAAATACCAAACCAATAAAACCTAAGGAAGGAAAACAGAGGTTAATCTGAATGGTTGGATGGAGGATTTGCAAACTAGACAGTGCCCAAGAAAAGGTGCATTTCCTGATCCCTTTAAAACCAATAAGATTATTCCAGTGCAATGAATCAGTGGAGCTGGCCCTTAGAGGCCTTAAACACTTTAAAGATTTGAGTGCTCTATATATGAGTAAGGAGTCCCCGGTGGCGCAGTGGGTTAAAGCACTGAGCTGCTGAGCTTGTTGACCGAAAGGTCACAGGTTCGATTCCGAGCACTGAGCTGCTGAGCTTGTTGACCGAAAGGTCACAGGTTCGATTCCGGGGAGCGGTATGAGCTTCCGCTGTCAGCCCTAGCTTCTGCCAACCTAGCAGTTGAAAAACATGCAAATGTGAGTAGATCAATAGGTACCGCTCCGGCGAGAAGGTAACGGCACTCCATGCAGTCATGCCAGCCACATGACCTTGGAGGTGTCTATGGACAACGCTGGCTCTTCGGCTTAGAAATGAAGATGAGCACCACACCCCAGAGTCAGACATGACTGGACTTATGTCAAGGGACAACCTTTACCTACATATGAGTAATCACAAACCGTAACATAAAATTGTATTTTTCAAAATGAAACCCAACTTTCAGTAAGATGGAAAATAATGCCGATTTTTGTATGGTCCTACTTTATTTATATTCAAAAAGTTGTCTCCTACTTTTTTCTAATTGCAAAGTATTTTATAATGGGGACTAGTGTGTGTGTAAATGGGTTCAGCTGCACCATTTGCCATCACGTGGTCCATGCTAAACCCAGGAGTCAAACATTTCCGTGGTGTCCTAAGAATAGACCTATTTCGCTTAATGGTTAATCTAGCCCCGATCAAGGAACATTTGTGGTTTTATCCCCCCTCTAAGAAACTCAAGGCAGTGGCCTTGGATCTTTGACTGTAGCCTCACAGCAATCCTGCGAGGGAGGTCAGACCTGGAGATACAGTATTTATCATCCTCATCATCCTCATCAGGGCCATGGTAGCACAGATTAAACCACTTGCTGGAGGAAATCTGCTTACTGGAAGGTTGGCAGTTCAAAGCCACGAGTCGAGGTGAACTCCTGATGGTCAACCTTAGTTACTGCCAACCTAGCAGTTTGAAAGCATGCAATGCGAGTAGATCAATAGGTACCGCCTCAGTAGGAAAAAGGGTGTCCCATGTCGGCAACACAATCGGAAATGTCTATGGATAACAGGCTCCTCAGCATGGAAAAATGGAACAAGAGCACCTCCCCATGGCCAGAGTTGAGCAATGCCTCCAGACACCCGAGATGGAAAAAAAAGGGAAAGGCCTTTACCTTTGTCTGTGTTGTATGTCATTGTTCACTGTGTGTAAAAGGCATTGAATGTTTGCCTCATATGTGTATTGTAATCCACTCTGAGAAAATGGAACAAGAGCACCTCCCCATGGCCAGAGCTGAGCATTGCCTCCAGATACCCAAGATGGGGAAAAAAGGGAAAGGCCTTTACCTTTGTCTGTGTTGTATATCATTGTTCACTGTGTGTAAAAGGAATTGAATGTTTGCCTCATATGTGTAATATAATCCACTCTGAGTCCCTCCAGGGAGATAAAGCAGAATATAAATAAAGTATATTACTAGTGTATTATTTGATATCATGCTTCTCTCTCTTAAATGGTACTCAAACTGGCTCACACTGGTTAAAAACAATAGCAATTACAATTTAAAACCTACAACATATAAACATGAACATAGACAATATATAACATTAAAGCATGGCATCGAAATACTAAAATAGAGACCAAGGATTAGGCAAGGCATTTTTTATAAGGATTTGAATGCAGACCTCCAAGATCTTAGTCCAGCACTGCATACATATATAAGTAAAATGAGTTCATACAGATGCCAAATAACAACTAAATGAATCCATGTGCAATATATATCCATGTGCAATGCACATCTATGTATGTATATGTATGTAAGTATGTATGTATGTATATATATGTATGTGTGTGTGTATATATATATATATATGTATATGTGTGTGTGTGTATGTATATATATATGACACACACACTTTGTAATGCTGAACTGAATGTGGCTGTTATGCATCAGATAAAAATGCCCAAATACTTCTTTTAGAGAACTAAAATATGCACAACACACCAAAGAGGATTCCAGCCTGGGTATATTATTATTATTATTATTATTATTATTATTATTATTATTATTATTTATTGCTACAACTACATAAATGTAATCTTTTTCTCAGCGAATATGAAAAATCTTGTGGCAATTGACCTTTTTTTGCAAATGACATTTCGCTGTCCCAATCGATCAAGACACCTTTTCTTCCCAATAAGAAACTCCACAAATACTTTGCATCCCTAATGGGTGATCCTTCCCAATGAACACTTAGCATAAATCAATACTGAATCAATGGGAAAAGGTCAGAGGGAGAGGATGTGACCGCACACAGGTAAAGCCATACTGAGGAAAAGGTCCAGAAAGGACACAGAAAAATGGATAAGTTCATCATGATTTATTATGTATAAAATATTTTGAGTTGTGTTTTAAACAGTGCTTCTTATGCTATTTGATACAAAATAAATTGGAATTTTTCCTTCTTCAAACATGCTAAGACTGCTACTATATTTGTGCCCATTGGCATTCGGCCCATCCCCTGTTTGGATATCATCCAGCACACCAATGCCTTAAATCACAAAATAGCTTTCTAAGATATACAGAAATACTCGCAGGAACATCCCAGCAAGCAAGAGTCCAAAAGTGGCAGGCTAAAACTTGGAATCTCAATCCATGGCTGATACCGAATGAGAGACTCCCGCCTGGGCACACAGAAATCTGGGTGACTTGGAAGGTGCTGAACAGACTGTGCTCTGATACCATGAGATGCAGAGCCAACCTTAAGAAATGGGGCCACAAAGTAGAGTCTGCGACATGCGAGTGTCCCTTATTAAAATCAATCAACATATCATCTAAGATGTCTTAAAGGATGGGACAGTAGCTTGGACAGGTGGTGAAATGGGTTAATTGCTGACCTGAAGGTTGGCAGTTCAATTTTGTGGTGCGAGGTGAGCTCACCCTGTTAGCCATAGTTCCTGCCAACCTAGCAGTTCGAAAACATGCAAATGTGAGTAGATCAATAGGTGCCGCCTCAGCAGGAAAGGTAAAAAGATGCTCCATGCAGTCATGCCAGCCACATGACCAGGAGGCGTCTGTGGACAATGCAGGCTTCTTGGCTTGGAAGTTGAGATGAGCAATCCCACCTTCCTGCACTACCGCTATTCAGCAATTTTTATAATTATATTTATTTTAAAACAATTTCACAATTCCATCTTTGAAAAACAACTGCAAAGAGCAAATATAGCAATAACATATAAAAGACATGAAAAATGGGTAGTCTTGAAACAAGAAAGGGGGACCAGGGAGAGGAGAATCCTACTCCCTGAAGTCACTTTACTGTCAACTTGGGCTCACCAAAGCAAGGTAAGAGCTGGGAATATTATGGGATTGGGAGCTATTGGTGGTTTTTATTTACCCATAATCACAGAAAGGAAGCAGACTGAGAGCAGGATGTGCACAATATAATGGGATAAGGACCAATGTTGTTTTTCCTTCCTTGCACAATAAAGTTCTAAGAGTTGGCAAAGCTGTGATCCTCCAGATGAGATGACTCCAACTCCCATCATCCCCAGCAAGCACTGCCAATACTCAGGGAGGGTAGGGATTGTAGTTCAACAACTTTGGAACTGGGTGTAGTTTCCCATCTTCCAAAAATGGTGTGGCATAAGGTCTTGGGTTCACAATATTTTAATCTTTTTTCTGTTTATTTTAATATATGTATTTTGTAGAATTACATTTTAATATGTGTATTTTATAAGAGCAGTGTTTCTCAACCTGGGGGTCGGGACCCCTGAGGGGGTCGCAAGGGGTGTCAGAGGGGTCGCCAAAGACTATCAGAAAACAGTATTTTCTGTTGGTCATGGGGCTTCTGTGTGGGAACTTTGGCCCAATTCCATCATTGGTGGGCTTCAGAATACTCTCTGGTTGTAGGTGAACTATAAATCCCAGAAACCTCAGCTCCCTAATATCAAGGTCTATTTTCCCCAAACCATACCAGTGTTCACATTTGGGCATATTGAGTATCCATGCCAAGTTTGGTAAAGATCCATAATAGTTTGAGTCCACAGCTTTCTAAGATCTACAGAGATACTCACAGGAACATCCCAGCAAGGGAGTGTCCAAAAGTGGCAGGCTAAAACACATAAACTGGGTGTAGGTTCCCATCTTCCAAAAATGGTGTGGCATAAGTATTCTCTGGATGTAGTGAACTACAACTCCCAAACTCAAGGTCAATGCCCACCAAACCCTTCCACTATTTTATGTTGGTTGTGAGAGTTCTTTGTGCCAGGTTTGGTTCAATTCCATCATTGGTGGAGTAAAGAATCCTCTTTGATTGTAGGTTAATTATCAATCCCAGCAACTACAACTCCCAAATGACAAAATCAATCACCCCCAACCCCACCAGTATTCAAATTTTTTCTCTAGATGAACTACAACTCCAAAACTCAAGGTCAATGCCCACCAAACCATCCCCGTATTTTCTCTTGGTCATGGAAGATCAGAATGCTCTTTGATTGTAGGTGAACTATAAATCCCAGCAACTACAGCTCCCAAAGGACAAAATCAATACCCCCCCCCCCCACACACCACACTAGATTATTCAAATTTGGGCGTATTGTGTATTTGTGCCAAATTTGGTCCAGTGAATGAAAATACATCCTGCATATCAGATATTACATGACGATTCATAACAGGAGCAAATTTACAGTTATGAAGGAGCAACAAAAATAATGTTATAATTGGGGGTCACCACAACATGAAGAACTGTATTAGGGGGTCACGGCATTAGGAAGGTTGGGAACCATTGTTAT